GAAAATTCATAACAAATCGGTGGGTTTATGCTTTTTTCTTCCCTTTCACTCTAGGAGTTCAGACTGCACAGGCTGAAGAAACTCGTTGGAAACGCGACGTCCTTGATGAAGTGGTGAAAGTGGACGCGAACTGTAACAGTGAGGAATTGAGAGCTATCATAATCGAGGTAAATGACCTTATCAGAGAACCTACTTTGCGCTAGCAGAGCGTTTTATTGTAGAACGTCGACCGTATAACTTCCGTTTCGAAGAGAAGAATTCAAGCCGAGTGCGAGAGCAGCCTCAACGGAAGGTGAGTCTGTTAACTGGCAGAAGAGATGCACATCAGTGGCATCGATTTCCTGCGGTACAGATCTGCTCCTTGAATATTGAAGCCAGCTCCCGCGACAAGTGATCCGCGAAATGCCTCCGTGCATTCAGCATCCAGCTCTGCACTCGCATATTATATCACTTTCGTCACTCGAAGAGGCGAAATAAAGCGGCCACGAACGTGTAAGGCTTGTGGGTTTTGTTCTTTTCAGACTACAAGGCAGCGGCTTACACACTAAATCACGTGTGTGCATTCTGTCGCCTGTAGCGTCGTAAGACGATGCTTCATGCTCGTCGTAGAGAATCCTAGCTTGCCGACTCTTTGGCGAGATGATGAGTTCTTCTGCTCTCCCTAGATACCTTTTGTGGGGAAACAAATTCGTAGCAATCCATCCGCAAAGCAAGATTCGTTTTTGCTCTGGTTAAGTTCAGCAGTGATGAAACCGCATTAGTGGAGCGATCGCTCCGCCACTTACCATAATCCTGTTCATGCACAGTTTTTGAAGTGAATTCTGTTCCACTGTTTTTTTCCGCTTTTTTTTTATTTGAGTGGTCACTAAAAGATGTGAAGAAACGATTTGTAAGCATGGGGCCGCACGGTATCAAGTTGCCAATAAGTCAGGAGAACTCATCCAGTAGGGCCGTATGACTGTCAAGGATGGGCGGTTGAACTGTCTCTGAGGATTTTTTGCTTTCTTCTCTGCTGGGAGGTCACTCATCAGTTACAGGTTGATAATTGAGCACCTACAACACCTAATACTATATCGCGAGAATGATCTTCGAAGGCCTGCTCCTTGACTGCAAACTGTGCGTAGTGATTTCTATGCAATGCAATGGCTAAGTTCGTCGTTAGTGAGAAGAACGACAGGAAAACCATCGAGAAAGCGCTTTGAGACCCTTCCCGTGACAACTGATTTTGATGTATAGATGAGAGTGCGAAGAAGCGTTTAAAAAGAAACTGTACAGAAACTAGAGACTAAAGACCAAGATTGAGACAACAGAATCATAAGCGAAATGACAATCATGCTAATCAGCGGGGCAGGCATGGACTTATTGGGTGGTCGTAGGCCTAACTCACAAGTGCGTGGCGTGCTTCTGCACACTTC